GATCTTTTTGTTCACGTAAAACATGGTTGTTAGAAGTGGCTGAGGAACTTTGCCCAGAAAATTCAAAACCATTTGAAAATATAGTTTGGGTGCAACTACCATTGCCCGCCGTGTTGCAGACATGGGTGAAAACATCGTGACTCAAATAGCGAAAAATGCATGCAAGTTTCTCTATTTTTCAATGATGAGTAGCCGGACAGCTGTTCCACCTCTCAATTTCTTATGTTCCTAGAGGTGTGGATGAAGACATGAACATAACACAAGAGCTGGCTTCCTTCCATAACATGTATGGCACTGTTACCGGAGAGGATGTATTCAATGAATAAAAAGAAATGCTGATTATAACGTGGACTGGACTAACCTCAGTTACCTGATTTTGATGGAGAAAAGTACATGAGTGGCATAAAGAAAGGTTTGGTTGGACAAGAGAATGAGAAAAACATTCTACAACCAATGTTTCTGTACTTTATTTTTGACCAGTAAGATTTGTGTGCTAAATATATAGACACAAGCAGTGTACTGAATCCTGTGGTGAAGATGGTGAATTTAATAAGGTCACATGGGCTCAACCATAGATAGTTCAGAGACATGTTGAAAGATACAAAAAAAAGCATCGAAAGATTTATCATATTTCACAGCAGTAAGATGGCTAATTTGCGATAAAGTTCTGAGCAGAGTATTTAAGTCAAGAATGAAAATAGGTGACTTCCTGGAAAGTAAAGACTAGCCACAGCCATTAATGTCTGATGAAGAGTGGGTATAGAAATTGGCCTCTGCTGCAGACATAACTAGTCATTTAAATTTGTGTGAACCTAAAACTACTAAAGTAGTTTCTGATCTATACGCTCACCTAAGGGCCTTCAGATCCAGACTTGTCTTGTTTTTGGAACAAGTACAACAACTTGACCCACTCTCAGTAGTGCAAGGTCTTTACGGCTGAAGCAACCCCTGAGTTCCCCACGTCATTTACATGCGAGATCATCAAAGACCTCCAGCTGCAGTTTCAGTAGCGGTTTTCTGACTTGGATTCAAATGCAGAAGAAGTGACACTATTTCAAAACCCAAATGATGCAAATATGGCCAGTTGCAAAGATGAACTGCAGCTGGAGGTCATTGAATTGCAAGCAAATGACCTCCTTAGAGACAAGTTCAAAGAAGGGCGGGTGGGTTTTTATAAGTTTTTGCCCAGGGAAGATTTTTCAGATACTAAAACTTTTGCATCAAATTACCTTTCAAATTTTGGAACAACATACCTGTGTGAACAAACATTTTCAAGAATGAAATACGTGAAGAATGATTTAAGAGGAAACTTGGACCTCCAGTGTGTTGTTGGCCCCCGCGAGTGTTTCTTCCAGAATTTTTTCTCCGGGGTGGGGGGGGGGGGGTTATACACTTTAAAAGTGTCTATATTTCTATATTAATTATATTTCTTTGGGGAGCGGAGGTAGACGTTCTTCGAGGGGGGGGGGATGGCTCCACCTCCCCGAAGAGATGCCATGAAGAAACTCTGGCCCCCGAACTGGGATACTTAATGCGGCACTCGGGCTGAAAAGTTTGGAGACCCCTATTGTAGACCATCATATTTGAAAACGTCGAGCAAACGCCAAATATTTCATAAGGTCAGCAGCAACTGCAGCTTGCCTTTTTTCGATGCCCACTTTAAACGCTGCGGTTGGTGCGAGGTAACTATTTTCCTACGGCGGTGTGTTTTTTAGATGGGCGGCTCGCAAAGGGGAACAGGCAGAGGCGTCACTAGATAGGGTGTCACCCGGGCAGTAACTGTTAGTGTCACATCATACCCTACAAAAAAAGTTTCTTTTTCGATTTTGTCACCCCTTTCCCTACTTACTACTATTTGTCATTTTAACAGTAAGACATTGTTTGGGCTACCTGGGTAAAATCTTGTTTGGGCTACCTGGGTAAAATCTAGTTTGGGCTAAATGGGTAAAATCTTGTTTGGGCTAACTGGATAAAATCTTGTTTGGGCTAACTGGGTAAAATCTTGTTTGGGCTAACTGGCGCCAGCGAGAAAAATCTCAAAGGTATTTGAGAGGTCCATAAATTAATTTAAAAATCATGCACGGCGTAGTTACAATTAATATGGTTATAAAATCCTGCCTGTCTGGGTTTTTTTCGGACTTTACTAAAGATTGGATGTATTTGATGTTTTTAATATTTTCAGTAACTAAATAAAAATTTATAAAAAGCACACAAAAAATGGGTTTTCACGTGTAATGGCGACATAAACAATGCCATCCTGCTATTCGATAGGCCGCCATAAATTTTATTGTACACATTGTAAGCTAAAAAAAGAAAAACTAGGTCATGGTGTTTTAATTTGCATTGTTATTTTAAAACGATCTGCAAAGTTTTGTAAACAAAAAAAAAAACTATAAAGTGGGGCTGTCAGAAATCGATCACGGAGTTCCTATACAGCCAATCAATGTTTGTCTTACGAAAGTGAAACATCGGGTTATAACTTAGGCTTGATGAAAATAAATAGAAATGTAGCCTTAAACTCAACAAATTATTTTCAAATAGAATAAAATCTCGTAGAAAAAAGATTTGCACACCAAGTGAACGTCATATAAAATGTGCAAAATAGTGCGGAATATTATTAGTACTTTATAAATTCACATGCGTTTTTTTTAGAAATCGGAAATAGCAAAAATTATTACTTCCGGTCAACGGAAATTACTCAAAATTTGATAGAAGGTAGAGAATTAGATCTTTTACGTACATAATTTTGCAATCTTGTCCGTATGTCTGTGTGTCTGTGTGTGTGTCTGTGTGTGTGTAAACACGATAACTTGAGTACCGTTACAGCTAGGTTGATGAAATTTCTTATAAGTATTATATCAAAATCGTAGATCCGTATCAACTTTTGAGCGATTTCCGATAACCGGAAGTGGTACTTTTTTTTACTTTGAATTTTTCAAAAACCTATAACTTGAGTACTATTTCAGATAGATAAATGAAATTTCTCATGTAAGTTAAAAGATCTAATTCTCTACCTTCTATCAAATTTTGAGTAATTTCCGTTGACCAGAAGTAGTAATTTACGCTATTTTCGATTTCTCAAAAAACTAATGTAAATTTATAAAGTACTAATAATATTGTGCACAATTATGCACATTTTATTTGGCGTTCATTTGGTGTGCAATTTTTTTATACGAGATTGTATTCTATTTTAAAAAGTTTAAGTATTTAAAATGGATTAAAAATCATGTCTATATCCCTAGTTCCTATCCCCTGTTGTTTTATATAAGAATATTCGAGAAAGTTTAAGGGGATCACTCCCGGTTTATTTATAAACGTGAACTGTAAAAGACATACACAGTTTGCTTTGAAATAAAAAGGTTAAATAAACATATTTTACATTACACAACATAGCCTATATAACACACCACTGTCAAAATAACACACCATTTCACACCCCACTGTCCAGTTCACGCCAATCACTGAGCTGATCCCTTACCAAAATTGTCCACCACTATAAAAGACGCAATGGGCTATGGCTTTTCATGTGATCCCAAGATCCCTTTATGACCAACACAATGGTTTGGGTAAAGATCATAACAGTTCTAAGTTTTAGTTTAAGTAAAGCCTAGGCTGATTTTAGAGTTTAAAACTAAGTGTTGGGTGCTTAGAAATTTGATAGAGGTGAGAGTTTAATGCTAAGATGAAGTGTAATATGAGAGTCGTGTCACAGAGAGAAGAATTCATCTTCTGCCTATGGCAGCTGATGGCTTTTAACTATATTGTCCCGGAAAGCGTAAGCGAAATTGGCGTCTCTAGGGGGTGCCAGGGGGCGAAAAGGACCAGGTAATTTCGCATGTACATTTTATAAAAAATAAAACGGAAAAGTATATTTTCTATTGATGTATTAAGATACACTTTACTATTTTTACATCAATTGTCATGTTAATTTGGCTGTATTGAAGCTTTATTGATGTTTAATTTTATTTATTGAGTTGGTTGCTTAATTGTAATAAACAAAGCCAAGTCTTACTTTCACATAACGATTTACAAGATGTATAAAAGTGCTACACTGATATCAGGCGCAGAGTTTCTTCCAGGCATCTCTTCGGGGGGGCGAAGCCCCCCCGAAAAATTTTTACCGCCCCCCCCCGAACGAAATGAAATTTATATAGAAAATATATACTTTTAACAGTGTCCGCCCCCCCAAAGAAAGTCTACCGCCCCCCCCGAAAATTTCAAGTGCCCCCCCGGAGAAAAAAGTCTGGAAGAAACACTGATCAGGCGCTAATCGTCCGATTTCGAAACGAAATCTAATCTGCAAAACAATTTGTATCGGATGGTATTGTTTTCCGGAGACTTTTTTTTGGTTCTCTTCTTTTCATATGTTTTTTCTTTCTGTATATTTATTTTTGCCATATATTTACGTTTCTGTTATTTATATTTCATATTATATTTTTATATGATTCTCAATATATAGTGACGATTGAAATTAATATATTTGATTATTGCTAATTAACGTTTATTTGCTTTCGAACTTTTAACACCGTGGTCAAAGTCGCGAAACATTTATAAAATGAAGCACCAGTATTGTTTCGTAATAATTTGTCTCACGACAGTAAAGTATACGTTAGGTACGGAACTAGAATACGGATTGAAAAGGACTGAATTATTATAAACAAAGTCCTTATAAAACGCTCCATAGCTTGTGAAAGTAAAACTGAGAGAGGGGAAGAGATGTGTTTTTTTTAGAGGGACTAAGACACTAGACAGTACCATGGGCGGAGTTACACATACAATGACACAAATTTCACCAATTCACAGAAGACCGAACACAAGATGATATATCCAGGAACCAATGGGAAGGAGATGTATAGTGTTTAGTTTCTTTAAAACCGTATAAGAGGAGTTCACACGCAACGAGAGTAGTGTTTGCCATGTCTACAGCCTGCAGTGTTGCCTCTGAAACATCTGACCACTGATGGACACGTCTAGTCAAGCTAAGCTATTGGGTTTGAGACTGTGAAAACAGCAGTAACTTGATAGAAAACAGGTTTGTTTACGTGATGGGTTTCTGTGGCAACTCGACGTTTTGGGTGAGTAGATTTATATATTGTTGTATATTTATTTGTTCATACATCTTGTATACATCTATGCCTCTAAGTGCAAAAGATTAAATGTTTGTAACTTGCAAATATTTAACTTGTACATCCAACTACTGCTTGAGAATAAAGTCAAAAATGTTTATTGTGAAAAAAAAAAGTTATTTTTTGACAGAATCGAATGTCAGTTATATTCCCTATTAAATTCAAATCAAAGATTTATAATCTTGATTAATTTTCTTTAAAGTAGCTAATAAACGGATTAAAATTGTAAACTTAAATTTTAGTCGAGGTCTAATATTCTAAATTTCTTGATTTGTGTGTTGACAGCTTACTAAAACTTCAAAATTACTTAGAGTTTATTTTAGGATTTTGATATTAAAAAGAGCTTTTTATAAAGATTAAGTCAATAACACAATGACTTAAATTATTACATTTTATTTAGCGAATAATATTCTAAATGTTTGAAATTCATGAGTTTTTTAAGACCTAAAATTAGCTGAAGATGAATCTGCAAGGAAAAGCTAGGGTTCATCTCTAATATTTTAAACTGATTTCTTTTTTAATTTCATCTAGTTCTCTTACACGAGTTATTTCAGTCAGTTCTCTTGACTTTTCTTCATAAAATATTTAAAGAATTACAAATTGGTGTAACACGTAAATATATTTAACATTGAAGTTATACATTTTTCTAATTAATAATAAAAGGCGCCAAATTTTTCTCGAAGTCGTTTTGAGTAAGTCGTAACTAGAAAAGCCATAGTTTCAATGATTCTATCGTTGGTGGGTTATTTCTTATTACATTTACTTATTTAAAATTAAAGTAAACATAGTATGCTCCAGCATTTTGTAAAGACATGGGAGTTATCAAGAAAGTTGAATGAAAAATGTTTTTTTTTTAAATAAGAAGCGCTATTAAAATTCATTCTGAAAAACTCGATGAAATTTTCCTTGTTAATTACTTTTTTAATTATAAAATTAGGGATGTAATAATGTTTCCGTGTTTTATACGTATTATTATAAAAGATATCGACATCATTGTACTATCCTTAATAATTTGAAGTGGATTAAGTACAAAAGATACTAACAAAGTTGTGATGATATGGACAGTTCAGACGTATAGGCATTGATTACCTATTCACTGAATTGTTTACTATGGTAAATTGTGAGAACTTTTTTTTAAAATAATCATCATTGATAGATTTTTGTAAGATTAAAAAGGACGATATTTGAGATCCGAGTAGCCTAGGAAACGTTTGGTTGAGTCCAGTAAAAATAATGTGAAAATGTTTTAATTAAAGATGGAATGGAGGAAGACACTAGTACAATTTGCATGCATATTTTAGTATCTGAACAAAATTTAAAAAACATTTAGTATCAGCACATATATTTTACACAAATATATTATTACATTTTTACTTCTGTATATTTACAAATAACGTGAGCTGGGAATAAGTGAATAAGATGTTGGCCTAGTATTTTACAGTTGTTAATAAAACTTGCTAAAATACATTGCTTTATTTGTTGAGTTTATTTTAATAGAGAATCTAAATAAGGGGGATACAACCTAATATAAATTTTAATGATGGAAATTATCACTTAATCTGAAAATAAAAGACCATTTTATAATTTTTTTTAATTGCGTCCGTTAAAATTGCCTTTGGTGACAGAGGGTTTATTAGTGATTTTACCTATTTTTATGTTTTGTCATAAGATATGGGTGAATTCCATAACCTTATATCTCAACCCCAAAGCAAACCTAAACATAAAGTTCATATTATTACCAAATAAAGCCAAGTTGAACTTTAAAACGCTGGTCAGAAAGCTAAGTTGACGGTTCCTTCGACCAACGAGAGCCGAACGTTTTCCCGAAAGACACTTGCACAAACGCTGCTTGCCCGAAGGTCGTTTGCCCGAAAAAATCTAATACTATATATTATTACCAAGCTGACATTCTTAATAAATTTGAATGTGCCCTTTAAAAAAAAACAATTAATAGTAATCACAATATAATATTAATAACTTTGCACTATAAAAAAAAAGTGTAAAAACATATTTTTTTTCGATTTACGAAACAAACAAAAACACCATGTTTTCTCAGAATTTTGAAAATCAATCTCACTGGTTTGAATTAAGTAATCGGTTTGACTTATTGTCTAAATAAAAATATGTTGAATGGAGATCAAGGATTAGGCATAAAAAGACAATGAAATCACCAGCTGCATACCTTAGCTCCGACACGGTGAATCTTTTTAAATGTACCAACAATGGAACAGAACATAACTAAACACAAGCACAAACGCCAAAGCAAACACAAACACAACGCAAACAAAGAAAACACTAAACACAAAACAACGCAAACACAAACACAACGCAAACACAAACACAACGCAAACAAATACACAAACAGACAAGAAAGCGCAAAAAACACAAACACAATACAAACACAAACGCAAACACATAAAACACAAACAAAAACGTAAACACAACACGCAAACACAAACACATTGCATTGTCTTATTTTAAATAATAATGTAGTAGGGTTTATTTATATAACGACTTAAATTTTGTTATAGTTGGCACAGTTTTTACTCTTTTGCATAAAGTGAAGAAAATACACGCACATTAGGATATGGATAAGAAAGTTTACTAAAGTCCTTCACTAGATCGAATCCAGGGCGTTCTCCAACACCCCAACATAGTACTATTTGACGCGCCGGCCTCCCCGTGAGCGTTATGGCGCCTACGTTCTTTAAAGTGAGTGTAATAGACTATGGATAAAATGGGGTATTATAGTCGTTTTCTATGTTGAATCAGGCGGTCCGGCCGGCCCCCCGGCAGGATGCGATTTGGCGCCCGGGCTAGACTGTGAAAATGTTTGTGTTTATGTTTGCATTTAAGTTGTGTTTATGTTCTGCGTAATTGCTTGCGTTTAGGTTTGCGTTTGCGTTTGTTTTTGCGTTTTGAGATTGCTTTAGCGTTTGTATTTCCGTTTTCTTTGTGCTTGTATTTGGATTTGGGTTTGCGTTGTGGTTGGATTTGGGTTTGTTTTCGTTTGCTTTTTTGTTTGCATTTGCGTTTGTGTTTGTGTTTTCTTAGTCTTTGTGTTTGTTTTTGCGTTTGTTGTTGTGAATGTGTTTGCTTTTGTGCTTGTGTTATGTTTGCATTTTTTTGTGTTTTGGTTTTGGTTGGTTTAGGTTAGGGTTAATTCGAAAAGTAATATATTTCCTAAACCCGGGCAATGCCGGGTATATGATCTAAATTATCTATAGTATATTAATGAATTTTATGTCAACACGAATATAATGATCTTCATTTCCTAAAAAAATATTTTTACGTATTGTTCCTGTTCTGTTAACATATGATGAACACATTTTGAGACACGCCCAGCGCTGCACAACAGCTTTTTGTTTACTAGCGGTGTCAACAACCACCGTGGCGGCGGACGTAGGCTGAACATTTATTTCTCTGGTTTTTTATTCTTACCCTAAAGAATATCCAAGCTTTAGACCAGGGGTTCCCAACCCCGTGCCCGCGGACGCCATGGCGCCCGCCGAACGATTCGTATGTGCCCGCCTCTCACTATTCGATAGAGACAGAATTTTTTTCATAAACATTATTGAAAGGTTGAAGGGGATGGAAATCAAAAATTTGAGGGGGGAGGGGGGTGCGCAAATCGAAAGTTTGAGTGGGGGGTGCAAATCGAAAATTTGAGGGGGGTACAAATCGAAATTTTGAGGGGGGGGGTGCTAATCGAAAGTTTTGTACCCGGGTGACGGGAAGGGTTGCTACGCCTCTGGATGGAGTTTGTCGATTTAAAATAGGTGGTGCCCGCCACCCTACCGATATTTTAGAATGTGCTCTAGAGTAAAAAAAAGGTTGGGAACCCCTGCTTTAGACTATTGGCAGATACTAGCTTACTCCACGGAGCCCAATTTCTCTTCTTGCGCCTACAAAATAAACCAAGTATAGGATGAGAGACCGAAAAACTCACCTGCCCAATACCCATTACAAAAAAATAATAGCAGGATAAACATCAGATGAATACAACAAGCCGAAAGATCTGTTGTGAATTGATCGCTTCAAGAAAAAAAAACCGGTAGTTATCTCCTCTAAACTTTCTCAAATATTCTTATATAACACTACGGGGGTTGGCAAATTGGATATAGACATAATGTTTAATCCATTTTTAGTTACTTACACTTTTTAAAATACAATAGAATCTCGTAGAAAAAGAATTGCGCACCAAATGAATGGCAAACAATATGTGTATAATTGTACGGAATATTATTAGTACTTTATAAATTCATATGCGGTTTTTTTTAAATCGGAAATAGCGTAAATTACTACTTCCGATCAACGGAAATTGCTCAAAATTTGACTAAAATCAGAAGATTAGATCTTTTACTTGTGTGAAATTGTGTTTATCTATATGAAATAGTACTCAAGTTATAGGTTTTTGAAAAAAGTAGAATAATTCCCACTTCCGTTTATTGGAAATCCCCGAAAAGTTGATACACAACTACAAATTTGATATAATACTTATATATGAAATTTTTTCAACCTATCTGTAACGGTACTCAAGTTATCGTGTTAAAAGACACACATACACACATACACAAACTTGGACAGAATTGCTTGGTCCAGTTTTTCCGACTCAATTACGCATAAGGGGTCATCCATAAATGACGTCACGCTTTTTTTGACGATTTTTACCTCCCCCCCTCCCCTCCGTCACACGTCGTCACAAAAAGTCAGACCCCCCCCCCTAAAATGACGTCACACCTCAGCCTACAACCCCCCCTCAAAATTGCAGTTGAATTTTTTTTAAACATCGATATTTTTCCAAAATCTTGTCTAAACTATTACAATTTATTAAAACAGTTATCTAAAACGCAAAATAACGTCTAAAATTCGTTTTCTAACATTGCTTTTTTATAATGCAAAAATGTGACGTCGCAACATCTGAACCCCCCCCCCTCCCCCTCATCACA